TCCGCCTCTGCCTTCCGAGTAGCCGGAATTACAGGCATGCGCTACCATACCCAGCTGATTATTTGATTTATTGTAGAGATGAGGTCTCGCTGCCCAGGCGGGTCTCGAAACCCGCGGGCTCAGGCAATCCACTCACCTCAGCCTCCCAAAGGCGTGGGATTACAGGCTGAGCAACTGAGCCGGCTTGTATTGGGTTTTGTTTGCTCCTCTTTTGATTATTTACAAGTGAACCTCCACCCTGGGCGACAGAGTGAGACTCTGACTCAAAAGAGTTTGCTGGGCGTGGTGGCTCACTCCTGTAATCCCAGCACTTTGGGAGGCCAAGGCAGGAGAATTGTTTGAGTCCAGGAGTTCAAGACTGGCCTAGGTAACATAGTGAGATTTTTGTCTCTACAAAAATTAGCTGTGGTGTGGTGACATGTGCCTGTAGTCTCAGCTACTTCGAGAGGCTGAGGTGGAAGGATCACCTAAGCCCAGGAGGTCAAGGCTATAATGAGCTGTGAACATGTTACTGCATTCCAACCTGAGTGACAGCGACTCTGACTCAAAAACCAAAAACAAACAAATACATAAATCTCATGTTGCTACTCTTTGATTTTTTTATTAGAATGCCTATTCCTTTTGTATTTAATGTAATTACTGGTAAGAAAGAGTTTGCATCTGCTGTTTTGCTGTTTTCTTTCTTTTTTTTTTTATTTTATTTTATCTTGAGTTGGAGTCACACTCTGTTGCCCAGGCTGGAGTGCAGTGGCACACTCATGGCCACCGCAGCCTTGACCAGCTGGGCTCAGGTGATCCTTCCACCTCAGCCTTCCAAGTACCTGGAACTACAGACGTGCGCCACCACATCCAGCTAATCTTTTGATTTATTGTGGAGGCTGCAATAACTGTGAGCGTGCCACCGCACTCCAGCGTGGGTGAGAGGGTAAGACTCCAACTCAAAAAAAAAACCCACAAAACCTAACAAACCCCAATTCAGCAACATACCAAAACAGTTATATACCATAACCTAATAGGATTTGCTTTAGGAAAGCAAATTTGGTTCAACATACAAAACAGTCAGTAAAATACACCATATTAATATGATAAAGGGGAAAAACATGAAAATCTTTTTTTCTTTGAGACAGGATCTTGCTGTTGCTCAGGCTAAACTGCAGTGGTGTGAGATCATAGCTTACTGCAGCCCCAGCCTCCTGGTCTCAAGTGATCCTCTCACCTCAGCCTCCCAAGCAGCTGGGTCTATAGACATGTTTCACCACACCTGACTAGTTTGTTAAAGTTTTTTGTAGGGATAGGGGTCTCACTTTGTTGCCCAGGCTGATCTGAAACACCTGGCCTCAAGATATCCTCCTGCCTCAACCTCCCAAAGCACTGGAATTACAAGCATGAGCCACCATACCTAGCCTTGAACATCCTAATAGAGGCAGAAAAAGCATCTGACAAAATCCAAAACCTTTTCATGATAGAAGCATTCAACAAACTAGTAATAGAAGGGGACTTAACCTAATAAAGGACATCAGTGAGAAACCTATAACTAGCATCATAATAAATGATCAAAGACTGAAAGTTTTACCCCTAAGATCAGAAACAAGGCAAAGATATCTGTTTTTTGCCACTTTTATTCAATATTAAACTGGAGGTTCTAGCCAGGACAGTTAGGAAGAAAAAAATAAGGCATTCAGATTGGAAAGGAAGAAATAAAACTATAACTATTTGTAGCTGACAAGTTGTGAAAGATGCCAGACACAAGAGACCACATTATATTATTCACTTCATATGAAATATCCAGAATAGGCAAATCCTTAGAGACAGAAAGTCGATTAGTGGTTGCCAGGAGTTGGAGAGAAAGAAGTGACTGCTGGCCTCAGGCGATCCTTCTGTACCAGCCTTCCAAGTAGCTGGAACAACAAGTGTGTGCCACCACGCCTGGCTAATATTTTGATTTATTGTAGAGACAAGGTCTCACCAAGTTGCCCATGCTGGTCTCGAACCCCTGGACTCAGGCAACCCTCTTGCCTCGGCCTCCCAGAGTTCTGGGATTACAGACTTAAGCCATTGCTCCTGGCCCACATTTCTTTTTTTATATACAAGGGAAATCTTCTCTCTGTTGAATTGGATACCAAGTAGTGCTTATTTTGTTCTGTTCAGTCATCCTTTTTTAAAATAAAAAGCTTTAATTTGTCAATAAATTACAGCCAAACTATTAGAAATCAAAATTTTTCTATGTAAGCTGTCTTCATTCATCTTTCTGGGTAATAATATTTTAATGTTTTAAGACAGTTATTAAAACTTAGGTGACTTAGTAGATCGTCTGTCAATAATACTTAGTAATTATTAGCTACGTAGTAAAGTTTGGAATACCTTTTGGTTTTTAATACAGAATTTCATTAATTCTGTGGCATAAGTAGGATATGGTTTATTATTCCAGGAGTGAGACAAATTGAGGTATAATAGTGACTCTTGACAAAAAGTCGTTTGGTAAAATACTTAAAGAGATTTATTCTGAAGAAAATATGAGTGACCATGGCCTGACAACAATCTCAAGAGGTCCTGAGGACATGTGCCCCAGGTGCTTGGGTTACAACTTGGTTTTATACTTTTAGGGAGACAGAAGTTATAGGCAAAGACATGAATCAGTACATGTAAAGTATACATTGGTTTGACGCAGAAAAACAGGACATTTCAAAAGGGGGAGGAATAGGGGGGCTGGAAGGGTGGCTTAAAATTTATAGGTGGATTTAGAAAGAAATGCCTGAATTAAGATAAGGGGCATTGTGCTAGCTAAGGTTCTTGTTACATAGATGAAGCCTCTAAGTAGCAGACTTTGGTTTCAGAGAGAATAGGTGGCAGATGTCTCTTCGGGCCTTAAAAAGTTAATCTATCCTAAATCTAGAGAAGGAGATTCCCCACAGATGCACATTTTACCAAGAGATGGCTTTGCAGGGCCATTCCAAATGTGTCAAAGACATATTTTGGGGTAGAATATTTTAATTTCCTTTAGGGCCTGCTATCTGTCCTATGATGCTATACAAGAGTCAGGTTGGAATTTGGTATCTTACTCCACAGAGTCAGTCTGTCATATCTATCTGTGTCTGTGTCTCTCTCTCATTTATTTAATTTATTTTTTTGAGTCACGGTCTCACTCTTTCATCCAGCCTGGAGTGCACTGGAGTGCAGTGGTGTAACCATCATGGCTTACTGTAGCCTCAAATTCCTTGACTTAGGTGATCCTTCTTGTCTCAGCCTCCTGAGTAGCTGGGACTACAGTTACATGTCACCATACCCAGTTAACTTTTTTTTTGTTTGTTTGTTTTTGTAGGGATGGAGTCTTGCTATGTTGTCTAGGCTGGTCATGATCTCTGTTTTAATGTTAATGCTAGTCAGTTGTGCCTAAACTCCAAAAAGGAGAACCTATTACAAGATGTGTCCAACTTCCTTTCCCATCATGGCTTGGGATTTCGTTTTTCAGTTTTCCGTTGGCCCAGAGGGATTCCATTTCATTTGTTGGGGGGCTTAGAATTTTGGTTTTGGAGTGTTAAGTTCTTTTTTTTTTCTTAATACTATACTGTGTTTTCTTTGTTTAGTTTTGTTTTTGAGTAGGAGTCTCACTCTTGCCCAGGCTCCAGTACAGTGGCACCATCATGGCTCACCACAGCCTGAACCTCCTGGGCTCAGGCAGTCTTTCTACCTCGGCCTCCTGTGTAGCTGAGACTATAGGTATACATCACAATGCCCAGCGAGTTAATAAATTAAAAATTAGCTGGGTGCACTCCTTTGGTTTCAGCTACTTGGGAGGCTAAGGCAGAAGGATCACCTGAGCCCAGCAGGTCGAAGCTGCGGTAGCCATGAGTGTGCCACTGCACTCCAGCCTGGGTGACAGAGTGAGACTCCAACTCAAAAAAAAAAAGTATGACCTGAAGAAATGACAACTGAAGCCAGACTTCCACTATACTCCAAAAGGGCTTGGTCTGGGTACCTACAGAGCAGAATCCCATGAGGACATATTTGGGCAACAAAGCCCTTTTTCTTCTTTCTCACCTCTTTTTTCCAGCTCCTTAGTACTGGCAGGAAAATTGCTGAGTTATGTTCTTTAAAGATACTGACACATGACCAAACACCAGAAAATGGAATTCACTTTTAGCAGAAGGATCAAGCTGCAGTGTGGCTAATATAGCAATGGTTGAGTGGTAAAAGATAATATTCAGGGGTCAAATTCTCCTTAATCTGCGATTCCTGCTTCGTTTTTTTGAGTTGGAGTCTCACTCTGTTGCCCAGGCTGGAGTGCAGTGGCACACTTACAGCCACCATAGCCTTGACCCGCTGGGCACAGGCAATCCTTCCACTTCAGCCTTCCAAATAGCTGGAACTGTAGGCATGCGCCACCACACCTAGCTAATTTTGATTTACTATAGAGGCATAGGCTCTGGCAATCCTCTCACCTCCACCTGCCAAAGTGCTGTTGTTATAGGCATGAACCACTGTACCCAACTCCTGCTTCAGCTTTCAAAGACAACATTAAATGGCCTGGAGATGAATTGGAATTATAAGATTTGCTTCAAATCACTGTGGATTCTTGTTATGATGGTTCATTATACTGTAACTCTGTTGTCTTTCTGTGTACATAGGTTGAGAGCACCACTGGATGCTTACTTTCAGGTGAGCAGGACCCAGCCTGACTTGCCAGCTGCCTCTTATGATTCAGAGACTGGAAATTCTATGTCTGAAGACTTGCAGGTGTCTAGTAGTTCCAATTCTGACAGTGACAACTCTGCAGAGGATGGAGAGGTTGTTGTCCAGGCAGAGGAACCTGGAGTTGTCATTTTAGAAGGTCAGTATTTCAATCAAGCTTTGAATTCACAAGAGTAATATCCACAAAATTTAGGCTTCAGAATTTTAGAAGCTCCAGATTTGTTTTGATACTTTCCCCTTTCTCCCCCAAATATTACGGGTTCCTGTTTTATAATACAACTTTCACTGGCCATAATTATATAGAGAAGATTTGATCTCAGTTTTACATGATTTGTGACGCAGTGAGTCAATCACTTTGTATTTTCTTAGACATCTGAGAAAGTAGATTCTTTATTTAAAATAAAAGTTTTGTAAATTCAGCACCCTGCCTAGGCTACCACTTTCAAGTTTTAGTATGTTATGTATTGTGCAAATGGGACTTTATTTTAGCAATAGTGGGCAGAGATCCCTAAAGTAAATGTCATGCTTACGTTAAAAACTTACTAATATCCCAGAGTATGTCACATTCAGTACATTTCTCCACTAAAAGAAACCAGGATGACTAGGTGTGGTGGCTCACACCTATAATTCCAGCATTCTGGGAGGCCAAGGCAAGAAGATTGCTTGAGTTCAGGAGTTTAAGACCAGCCTGGACAGCATACCAAAAAGTTTTTTTTTAATTAGCCAGGTGTGGTGATATCCATCTATAGTGCCAACTACTCAGGAGGCTAAGGCAGAAGTACACATGACCCAGAAGATCCCTCTATGGTGTACTATCAGTGAGACCCTGACTAAAAAGATGAAGAAAACAGGGCTTCTTGAAAAAATTGCTTTCCGAGTCTGGGATAAGAGATATACAAGAAAAGCCTAGGACCTTTTACTGTACTAGAAAGCAAGGAAGCTGTCAAAATCTTGTAGTTATTCAGTAGTCACAGGAGCCACCTTGAAAGGGCTTCTCGTGACCTAAATGGCATGATTTAAGCATGAAAAAGAATAATAAATATTGTTCTTGGATTATGAATTGAAATACAACAAATCAATGAAAATCTTGATTAAGGGATCAAGCATTTTTTTTTTTTTTTTGAGTTGGAGTCTCACTCTGTCACCTAGACTGGAGTGCAGTGACCGCTCCCAGCCACCACAGCTTCGACCTGTTGGGCTCCAGCAGTCCTTCCACCTCAGCCTTCCAAGTAGCTGGAACTACAGGCATGCACTACCACGCCTGGCTAATTTTTGATTTATTGTAGAGATGAGGTCTTGTTAAGTTGCCCAGGCGAGTCTCAAACCCGTGGGCTCGGGCCTCCCAAAGTGCTGAGATTACAGGCTGAGCCACCGAGCCTGGCCAGGGATCAAGCATTTATCTTGCTTTCCTGTATAAACTGGATTTAGGATAACCACATATTTGATGAAGGAGGTTTTTTTAAAATAGAAAAATTTCAGCTAATGCAGCAAGAACGATAGAAAAGCCACCATTTTGTGACTCCTAGTTAGATGATGGGTCTAAGCAGAGTGTCAGTGGGTCCTAAAACCATTAGGTTGCAAAGTTGATGAGATTCTTTTTAATGGAGGGACCAACCTTGCTCAATCTTAACATGTCGAAAAGTAGGACCACCAGACCTTTCTTATGTGTCTCTTAATGTGCTGCAATCTGCATACTCATGCCACCTAGAAAGTATTGTTGATGCCAGGCTCAGTGGCTCAGCCTGTAATCCCGCGCTTTGGGAAGCTGAGGTGAGTGGATTGCCTGAGCCCATAGGTTCAAGATCCACCTGGGCAACTTGGCAAGACCTCATCTCTACAATAAATCAAAAAAATTAGCCGGGCGTGGTAGCGCGTACCTGTAGTTCCAGCTATTTGGAAGACTGAGGCGGAAGGATCACCTGAGCCCAGCGGGTTGAGGCTGTGATGGCCAGGAGCGGTCACTGCACTCCAGTCTGGGTGACAGAGTGAGACTCCAACTCAAAAGAAAAAGAAAAAAAAAAATACTGTTGGCAACAACAACAGAAAACCCTGAATTTACTCAAGACTCTAGTCTAATGACTGGTTTGTACAGTTTATAGGAAAGGGGGATATAGGAACAAGAAGGGTAAATAATACCTTAGCAGTATAATCATTCAACTCAAAATGCAGTACGTTCTAAAAATGGAATATCTAGAAAAAAGTCTAAATGTGTATGGAAATTCACTATATTGTAAAGGAATTAAAATCAAATCAGTGGGGATGGTATAGACTTTTAAATTAATACTTTTGTTAAAACTGGCTAGCTAACTGGAAAAGATAAAACATATTCTTCATACCATAAACCAGGATATATTACATGTAGATCAGAGGCTGGATATGGTGCCTTACACCTGTAATCCCAACACTTTGGGAGGCCAAAATGAGAGGACTGCTTGAGCCCGGAGGTTTAAGACCAACCTGGGCTAAGGTAGCTAGACCTTGTCTCTTCAAAAATCAAAAAATTAGCTGGATGTGGTGGTACATGCCTGTAGTCCCAGCTACTCAGGAGGCTCAGGCAGAAGGATTGCCTGAGCCCAGGAAGTAGAGGCCATGGTGAGTTGTGATCATGCCCCTGCACTCCAGCCTGGGCAACAGAGTGAGACTGTAACAACAACAACAAAAATAGGTCAGAGATCTAGTATAAAAAATGAAACCATTCTAATAGAATACATGTGTGATAAAACTCAGGAGTGGGGAATACTTTGAAATCTACAAGCATTAAAAGAATATTACATAGCCGGGCTCGGTGGCTCAGCCTGTAATCCCACGCCTTTGG